AGATGAGAAGTGGCGTGCCTGGCGTTACCTTCAATGAGACTTATCAGATGTGGGTTGCGAGATGGCGAGAGGAGCCCAAGGGTACGGTCGGCTGCATAGACATGTGATGAGCATCGCCCTCAGGACGAGAAAACAGCAGAACGTTCTCAGTGAAGCAATATGGTGCTAATGAGGCCTTGCAAATGGCGATTGATTATAGGAGGATGATGGAGGAGGTCGGAAGAGTATGTCTACCAAGAGGAGCTACGTCTTCAACGACAACCCCAATGTCCCATCGCCCCGACTCTGCACAAGACCGTTAATGAATAGTATCATCCTGTCTTCTATCATGCTGTTGTGTATGCGACTGAGTGAAAGGGCGTCTCGTAGTGGATTCTTGTGTCCTTCCTCTTCCCCTCGCATTAAGGTTATGTCACGCCTGAGGGCGAATCCGAGAATTAAGGGTAGGCTGTTGGTGACAGCAGTGCTAATCTATTGCTCTGTGTCACAGATGATCCCGCCGTCAACCACTTGGTCAACGCAGCAGCATTTTTCGATGAAGCTCTGGTGCCGGACTTTGCGGTAGAAAACAACACGGCGATACTCTATACCACGTAGGTCACAGTGTTCACGTCATCATGGAGGACTACTATTCAGTTTGGGAACTTACAGACGGAAGCGAGATGAGCTTCCTAGACGGATTCGCGAATTGGGTAAAGTGAAGCCCCCGTACCATGTGAACGTGCTCTTGTGTTTGGTAATAATGTCACTGATTTCTATTATCATCTGATGGTGTTTTATTCAGGTTGATATACCTGCTGCAGAGGCTGGAGAGTGTCTAGAGTCTCTCAATCTCATAGCCGTAAACACTGGACTCTCCCTCCTCCTTGCATGGTCCAGTGTTGAGGTCTCGCGTTACATCCAAACTCTGTATAAATATCAAGGTCTGCCTTCATTGTAGTATCGTGTCACGAACTCTGTGGTGTGTAGGCAAGGAGGCATCCATCATCAGAGGTATCCATCGCGTGGCCGCCGACAACAAAGAGGGTCGAGCCACTGAGGCTCTGACTGTCGTTCGTGGATCGGCGACAAAGACTGACGTTAAGAATCTCTACAAACGCTT